GTGTAACTTTACAGAAATGCACTGGAATTCCTATCTGACTTTTTTGCTTTTTTTTTTCTCTAAAATGTTTTGATATGGTAAATCTTTCTTCCACTGTTAATTATAAAGCAAATGTATCATAGAAGGGTCTGTCATAAAAGAAGTCAAAAGAAGTCTTGAATAATCGGAACACTTCTGTCAGATTGTCTAATGTCAATTTGTTTTCTGGCGCTGCTTCTTCCATGTCTTCTTCCTCATCATCTGGCACTGGTTCAAAAGCATTCATCTCCATCAAGTCGTCTTCTGTTAATTCTTGTCGTGTGGTGTCTCTTAGCTCTCGAATTTCTCTAAGATCCATATCTTGAAACCCTTCACCCCTCACTTTTTTTTTTTTTTGCCATATCCACAGTCTCTCTCATGATTTCCTTGATTGGCTCTGTCATAAATCCTAAGAAGTCATGCACAAAATCTGGACACAGTTTTCTCCAGCAGGAACTTATTGCTTTGGGCTTGATATTTTTCCACAGCTTTTTCTATAATAGTGATAGTATCTTCATTGGTGTTATCCTTCCTTACTTTTATGATGTTCTCCCTATCAGCGTTCTTTTCCATAGTTTAACAATCCTTTCCACAGAGTACCATGTGTAATGAGCCTTAAAGGTCCTTATGACTCCCTGATCTAGAGGCTGAATTAGAGATACTGTGTGTGGGGGCAAATAGACCACTTCAACAACTTTGCTGTTGAACTCGTAGGATTCTGGGTGGCCAGAGGTATTGTCCAACATCAAAAGAACGTTAAAAGGCAATCCCTGTGGTGCCTGGGTGGCTCAGTTGGTTAAGTGGCCGGCTCAGGTCATGATCTCAGGGTCCTGGGATCGAGCCCTGTGTCAGGCTCTGTGCTCAGTGGGGAGTCTGCTTTAGGATTCTCTATCTCCCTCTGCCCCTGCCCCTGCTTGCTCACTCTCTCTCTCTCTCTCTCAAATAAATAAATAAATCTTAAAAAAAAAAAAAAGAAAGAAAGAAAGAAAAGGCAACCCCCCTATGGACAAGGTCTTTCCTGACTTCAGGGACAAAGCATTAATGGGACCGATCCAGAAAAAGGGTTATTGTTGTCCAGGCCTTGTTGTACAACCAAAAGACTGGCAGCTGGTGTTATCTTTTCCCTTCAAGGCTTAGGAGTTAGCAGCTTTGTAGATAAGAGCAGTCCTGATCATAAACCTGACTGCATTTGCATAAAACAGTACAGTTAGCCTATCCCTTCTTGCCTTAAATCCTGGTACTCACTTCCCTTCCTTACTAATAAATGTCTTTTGTGGCATTTTATTCCAGAATAGGGCACTTCTGTCTGCATTATAAACCTGTTTAGGCAGATATCCTTTCTCCTTAATGATTTCTCTCTTTCTTTCTTTTTATCTCCTCAATTTCTTAATGGTGTCTGGGAACTCATCTACTGCTTCTTGGTTGGCAGAAGCTGCTTTTCCTGTTATCTTGACATTTTTAAAGCCAAACTTCTTTTTAAAATTATCAAACCATCCTTTGCTGGCATTAAATTTTCCAACATCACATACTTCAGCTTTTGTTTTAAGTTTTCATATAGTAACTGCTTTTTTTTCAAATCATGTTAGAGTCTATAGCTATGCTCTTCTTATAGCAATCCTGAAACCACATAAAAGCTGCATTTTCATTATGAGATAAAAGGGATTTTGCAAAAAGTGCAAGGTTTATGCACCTGCTGGCAGAGCTGCAGTAACAGCTTCATGACTTCTCTTTTCTTTCTTTCTTTTTTTTTTTTAAAGCAACGGTCCTTACACTGGATTCATTCATCTTGATATAGCAGGCGATTGCACCTGCAGACCTAAATCTATGCTACATATCAAGCAATTCGCCTTTTTATCATAATGTCATGCTTTTCTCTGCTTCTTGGGAGCACTTCCAGCATCACTAGTGACACTTTGTATAGGTCCCATGTTATAACCTTGTTATTCACGGTTTACAGTATTGCACTAACTGTGATGAAAAATATGTGAGAACGATGAGAGATCACTTTTTACTGTGATTTGCAATTTACTAGAGAGACAAACTACTCACACAAAGATGATTAGTATCACACAGTGCTTTAAGCGGATACTGGCAACACTTGAGCTCACCACAGTAGCAACAGGAAGGGGCTATGAAATTATTATAGTGGTACAGTATGTACTAGTTAATTTCATGCAGTTATGACTTAATATTCTATCTTTACCTTTGTTTACATTTCTCTCAACTGTTAATGGTGCCATGTATGATCTGTAAATGTTTGTGTGGGTAAGTTTTGGTAAGTTTTAATTTTTTGTAATAGATCTGCATATATTTTATGGTAGCAAATGATAAAATAGATTAGTATCTATATATATTTTATGCATTCATGACATACCTTTTATTTTTTTTTATATTTCTAGACTATGTGGTTCATCTGTGAATTTTTTCAAATTGTTGTAAATCTCCAAAAAATTTTTCAATATATTTATTCGGAAAAAATCCATGTATAAGTGGACCCATACAGTTCAAACCTGTGTTGTTCAAGGGTCAACTATATTACCAATGATTTTCTCCCTTTTCTGTATTATCTACAATTTACTCCTGTAAGATTTAAGGTCTTTCTATAATTCTTCATCAAGCTACTTGCTTTCACTTCTGATTCAACAGATTTTTAGGTTCACTTTTTTTTGAAAGCACAGGTTGCTGATGCTATTGACAATGTGGAAAGGCAGAAACACTAGGGAAACAATGGATAGCTTAATTTATGTTGTTAACTCTGTATGGGCTGTAAGAAATGTTAAAATATTTTGCTATTTTAGATAAAATCAATTTTTATTATAATCATATCCTCTCTCAGTTTTTTAGATAACTTTATCTTACTTGTATTTAACCCATAACAAAGAACTCTAGTCCAAAAAATTTTGCAGATACTATGGATGCTTATATTTGATTTTGTTCTGTCATGATGCCACCAAGATCTTGGTTAGATGGCTGCCACTCTAGGTGAGTAAATATGCAGGTCTCCTTCCCTTTGCACAGATTAGGTAGGCTTTGATTTAGTCAGCCACTAGTATTTGTAAACCACTAAACCACTTGTGAATTGAGAATGTACTGGACTGTTAGTCTCTATGCTGGGTAATGGAGTTCCTGAGTGAGTAAGTTCTAGAGTTCTTGTTCTTAGTGTATATTTACACAGCTCATAAATGCAAATAAACATACTACTCTTCCAGGGAGTGTGGAGGAAACTGTTACCCCTTAGATTTGTCATTACTTGTCTGGGATTTTCTTATATGTGATAGGCGCCCCCTAGTGAATAAAGGGACTTAAGCTGGCCTCTATTCAAAGAGGCTAGAAAAATATCTGAAGCTGTTTTAACAAGTTCACACTGTATTAAACAAGTAAAAGAGAGAGGGAAGCAAACCATAATAGACTCTTAACTATAGAGAATAGAGGGTGCACTCCTGATGATCACTGGGTGTTATATGTAAGTGATGAATCACTAAATTCTTTACACCTGAAACCAATTTTATCATATATGTTAACTATTAGAATTTAAATAAAAACTTGGGAAAAAAAGATGCTAATGTTTTGTATGTGTGAATGCAGGTGAGGGTGGGGATCTGTTCTCCTTAAAAAGCATCCAGGATTTCACAATATAAAAGTAGTAATCAATTTTCGAGATGAAGGCCAAACTAATCTGAACTTTGGTTCATCAACTTAGGTCATCAAAGTACATGAGTAGAGCACTGATCTTTATCTACTCTCCAGGTATTACAACTTGACTGGATTTAAAAAAAATGTATGTATATACATATAGAGATATATTTACATACCTCTATATCTATACCTATATATATCTACTAGAATCAGTATGATACACATAACTTGGGGTTGAGACTTGAGAAACCATAATTCAATCCAGAAAATTTAATCTGGTAAATATATTTGATAAATTACATTTTTTTGGTTAATTTCAGGAACAGAACATTAAAGAAGACTGTGGTTGCTTGAGGCAATAAATCAATTACATTTAATTATCTTTTCTCATTGTAAAGCTCCTGTAACTTATAATAGTCTTCAAGTTCTGAAATAAGTATTATAATTTTAACATCATCATAAATATTAATTATTATTTATAGCACTGGGTTAGGTCTTCAGTGAAGAACCGAAAATAATTCTTATCCTCTACGATGTTTCCAATATAAAATAAAGTCAAAGAATATACAACCAAATCAACTGGAAAACAAATAAATCAAATAAACATGATGAAAAACAGTATTCACATTATTTTAACAGTGTTAAAGAGCAGACGCAATCACACACCTGACTGTGGCCTCTAAATGGAACTTCCTAAACCAACAATTGGAGAGAGGGTTAAACAAAGAGTAGGTCATGCCTTTAGGTAACAAGTAGGTGAGAAGTTTACCAAACTATTCTCAAAGATCTTGTTTGATGTCAGAAACTATCAAATTAAGAACTGTATGTAGTGTATATTTGCTACTTTTCAGGTGGTTCACTTTTCAGGGGTAGATTATCCTGTTGCCTCCCACTTTATTATCTAAACATTTTTTTAAAATAAATACTTTTCTTCTTTCACCTAGATTGTCCTGTGTTTCCTGAGCAATGATCCTTTTATGTTCCTCTCAACTCCTTCAGGTCCAAGAGGAGTTCTCTAACTGTAAGTTCCCTCTCGGTCCTCCTTCTCTGAAGCTATAACAACCCTATTTAATACAACTATATTGCTTTGATTATTCCACGTATATTAAAAAGTTTACAAAACACATGCAAGCATTCATTCAAATTATTTGTCAACTGGTTAATCAGTAGACCCCACAGTCCATTCTCCACCACTGCAGCGTGGAAGACAAATATCACTTGACTAACTTGGGATAACTTGTGCATTTCTCTTGTCATGACAGGCATGTGCTGGTGGGGGTGAAAAAAAAAAGGAAGCCAAAGGAAATAGAAGTGAATGACAGGTAAGGACCAAAGGTCTCGCCTACCTCATCCTTGCCCACAAAACGCCCATTCTTCCCCGTCCTGTTTCCTAAGATGTATCAGGGATGGATGCGAGGTCACCCGTGGGAAGGCGACATGCTCCTCCGCAGGGGCGGCGTACCCTCCTCCTGAAGACGGAGACGGAGAAGGAGGCGTGGGGAGACTCGCGGGGGTAGGTAGTCAAGAGGCGCCCAGGTGCCTTGCTCCCGCGCGACCTGAAAAAGTGTGAGACACTAGAGGTGTGGGACGGCGCGCGCCTGCGCGGACCTGACTCTCGCGGTCCCACGACAGCCGCATCCCTGCGCAAGAGTCCTAGCGCGCGGGCGGGAGGAGGGGCGTCGGCCCCTCCGCCTCGCGCGCGGCCACGTGACTCGGGACGAGGAGATTGGAGCGGCGGCCGCGCGAGGCGGCAGACTGGTGCAAGCGCCTGGCGCTTACGGGAGATCTCCTCCTCCTCCTCTTTCTCCTAGGAGCCTGGACGGTACCTTTGCTCCGCCCGGCTAGTCGACGCGGCCGCCGCATCCCTGTCGCCGCGGCGCCCCGAGGAGAAGGAGAAAACGCAGCTGGGCCGCCGCCGTTAGAGGGGTCCCCGGCTGCCGCTCGCTCCGTCGGCCGTCGCCTCGGAGGTCAACCCTCCCACGGTGTCTCCGCTTTCTCCTCCCGCTGCCGCCGGCGCCCGCTTATCGCCGAGATGGGGCTCCTGGACTCGGAGCCGGGCAGTGTCCTCAACGTGGTGTCCACGGCGCTGAACGACACCGTGGAGTTCTACCGCTGGACCTGGTCCATCACAGGTAAAGCGGATGGCTTCTCTGTCTTCGTCCGGCCCTGCGGGAGACACCAGCCCTCGGCCCTGCAGTCCCTTGCTCCCTGTGGCTGTTGGGATGCTGCGGATCCGAGGAGATGCCGGGGCGCGGGGACCGCGGTCGGGCACTGGTTAATCTGATCCGAACGTTAAGGCCTCTCCCTCCGCACTCCCCCCCTCCCCCCCGACGCTCGCACGGTTTTCCTCTGAGCCTCCATCTCTGTTCAGCTTCTCGGATGCTGGAGCTGACATATCAGATGGAGTCTGTGCTGCTAAGGGCTCGACGCAGGAACCACTCCACCCTACACCCGCATCTCCCAATCTCATCTGACCGTTTTAACTTAGGCACAGGATTGATTTTAACGTTTAGTAATAGTCCATTTGGCGAGATGGCTTGGGGGAAGGAGGAGGGCACCAGTGGTAGCTGTGTTTTTGCTTCTTCGGCCTCCTGATTGCTTTGACACAACCTGCTAACCTGCTAGTATTTTGTCTAGCTCATCCATCTACAGTGTAATTTGGAATAAAAAGTAAAAAGCCATTGTTTGGCTTCTTGAACCTTGAAGAAGGTCAGTTTCTGAGGCTTTTTCAACAGCAGATATGTTTGAAGTGATTGTGTTTTGCGCAGTGCAGTGCAGTTAGGGGGAGGGGGAGGCTAAAATACCGGGAAAGAAATAAGTCTTTAGGAAAGGGGTCTCTACAGCAGCACCTAGAGGTTGTCCCAGCAGCCTACATATATACAGTTTTCTTAAATTAGCAAACTTTTCCCTTTAGCGGTTGGAGTATTTGACAGGGATCTTCAGTTGGTTGATTCCTCTAGTGGAAGTATTTGTGCTATTATTATGTTATTTTTACACTTTACCATTTATTTTCTTAATTTGCTTCATTTGCTTTTAGTTTTAAAGCATTTAAAGGTTTTTGAAATAAAAAATTAGCCCAACAGGATTTTAGAAATGATCTTACGATTTAAAATTTAGTCCTTTGCAGTATTGCACCGCAATCCCAGCAGTGGAAGAGACTAATGTTACATGTTGTGACTCTCTGCCTTCCTCACCTAGAAATGAAAATATATTCCTGTAGTTTTGTATTTGTTGTTAGTGTAAATGGGACAGTGGTTACAGCATGATTACAATACGTGGGATACGTTTTGTGGAGAAAATGTGTGCTGGAATTATTTCTGTGTGTGACAAAATGATTCTTTGACATTGATGAGGCTTTAACTTCTTTAGTAGGAATCTCAAGTTTGGCACTGAGAAATAAGCTGTTTAATAAGCCATTGTGATTGAAAATGGTTAAAAGGCAGCTTTTAAGGGAGTCTTTCCTTAAGTCTTTCTTCTATGTGCTGTTACACTGAGGTTATGCTGTACCTACAAAAACTGAGAAGGATATACCCTTCCCTTCATCTCTGTGACTTTGGTTATTTAGACATTGCATCAGGGTTTCCCATTACACAATTGTGCAGAGCTGAACATCAGCTTTGGCAGATAATTGCACTTTGCATACTTCAGAGTTCAGACATTGTCAAGGTTCTCCAGTCTCCATACAGCCGGAGCCACACCCAGAAGTTCTCCTTCCTGTCTATCATTCCCTTCCCATCTCAGAGCTTCCCTGCCTCTTGAGTCTCAGAAAGACAAACCGAGCACAAAGGTAGAATAGACCTTTCTGTCTTGGTTCATTCCTTCCTAATGGTGCTGGTGTAAAAAATACCATGAATGAAATAGGAAATTTTATGCAGTTGCTTCATGTGAAAGCTTGCTACTACCCTGTGAAGGGCATATAAAATAATATTGTAGGCTAAGCCTGAGAAGTGAGAGTAGCCACTGGAACACAAGTGACCTCTCACTAGCAAGTCAGAAGGAAGGACGTATTCACCCATGCTCTGGCTATCCACTTACGAAACTTGAGACTGCTTCCTTGCTTTCTGTAATGAGCTACCTGGTGTAGGTAGATGGCATTTCTTAAACCAACTTAGAGGCTTAGTGGGATATACTTTGTTCTGCCTTGCTGCTGTGAGGAGGAATATTTTTTAGATTCAGGCAGAATAGACCTGAACCCTATGGTTTCCCATTTCCTTTCATCCTTAGCCCAAGCTCTCCATGTTTCCTTTCTTTGACTCATTCACATTGCTCTGATTCCACGAGTATCTCCTCTTGCTATAATTTCACAAAAACCTGAGTGAATGAGTTTTGAAATAGAAGAGTAGCTTATTACATGAGGTTGAATAAAAAGATGAGTCAGATGTTTGGAAAGAGGGGGAAATAAAGTGGATGGAGAGAAAGATGGTCTTGAGAAATCTTAGTGAGTGTGGCAAAAGGATACAGATTATTCAGAGAGAGCAAGATGTGAACTAGGCTCTGTGCCCTTGAGTGCTTTCATCCCTAGACTGTAGTTCTATGCTTCTGCCTTTGTTTTATTAGTTCATTAACTGTTTCTCTCCACTGAAATTTCTACCTAAGTATAAATGAGTATATCTACTTTGGACTGTCATAATAAGAATAGTTACAGATTTGTAGAGTATATTTGGTGATTCAAGAGATTTCTGCCCCAGGGCAAACAGTTTCTAGGAAAAGACCATTTTGTGCTATCATATCAAATGGTGCTATTTAATAAAACATAAAGCAATGTTCAAGGCAATGTATAAAAACTGGGCTTTTCAGAGGCACATATCTAGCAAATACAGACTATGACCCATAGAGTATTAACACAGAAAATGTTACTTTTACTGTAATTGTTAATACTTTATACATTGGTACTAAAACTGAAAAAGCTGTACTTTTAGAAAAAGAACAAAAATAATTTTCTACTTCCCTATATTATATTTTTAGATATTTTGAACAAGTAAGTTAATCTCGGTTTATATTAATAGGAAAGTATAGATGATGTAGAACTTTATACTAGTTGGTGGCATGGGAGTAGGAACTCTGATGTCATTGTATTTTATTCTTCTATTCTTTTACTTTATGAATACATTAAAATTATTAGGACTGGGATCCTAGGCTCAAATTATATATATAATCAAAGTTGTATGTAAATTTTTAAAAACTGGTGAATCTTAATATTCTCCAATTTATAAAGATCCAAATTATCTACATTATCTGTTGTATTTATTTTAATAAATCCTTATTAGTAGCCTTTTGTGTTAACTGAAATTAGTATAGAAGCATCCTACAAAGTTAATAGCCAGCATGCCTACAATAAGGCCAGATATCGCCTGAGCCGCCATATTTCTTTTTGACCACGTTTTTAAACAGCCATTGTTCATGAAGTATGTACACACACGTGCGTGTGTGTGTGTGTGTGTGTGTGTGTGTGTGTGTATGGGGTGGTGGTTGGCATTGCTCTCTTGGGATTTGAACTTAGAGCATAGAAGGCCAGCTTAGCTGGCCTTAAATTCATTTTGGAGGGCAGAAGGGAAAAGGGGATGAGTAGTATACGAAGAAGGAGGACGCTGTAAGATGATGATGAAATTTGGAAGCAAGGCTTATATAATCATTTATTCTTTTCTCATCACTTACTATGTGTAGGAATAGTTCTGGGCTCTGGGGAGAGAATGAGTGCACTTGGTCACTGCCGCCTTGCTTGGTATCATGGTCTGAAGGCATGATCTGTGATCTGTCAGAATCAGGCCTAGCTGGCACATAGTGAAGTCAGAAAAGCCCTTCTTCCTATTCTTATCTTCACTTCTTTTACCTGCACCACAGTCTTGAGTTGTAAGATTCTATTTTTAGAATATTTTGGCTGTCACCATGTAGAGTTGATGTGTATATTTTCAGAGAGTATTTGGATAGGTAGACTAAAAAGGGCATCAAAGACTAAAAATTCATGGAAACTGGGAATGTTTTTAAGATAAGTCCGTGAGTCATCCTGGCTTGCTGAAACTGGAGGCTTGTGGGAAGGGACATTTAACTCAACTCAAATAATCTGGGGTAAAAGGTCTGTCCCAGGGAGTTCTAGGTCCCAGAGGAGCATGTGTCTTATAGTATATTTACATTAGTATTATTATTTGTCACAATCAATGTATAGTCTTTAATCTTTGTTATTGTCTAAAATATGTTTTGTTTATTTAGCCTAGCCTGGAAACCTAATTATCATTTTTAATGTTTCTTTGAGAAAAGACACTCTAAATTCTAGGCAGCTAATTAAAGACAAATATGTGGAACATCAGCTCCTAACATGGGATCTCCCTTAGCTAGTGTTTTCAGTGAGGTCCTAGAGTTATCCTTCTGTCTCATAACCTCCCTGAAACCTCTAGGAGGTCCATACCGTTTTAGGGTTTTTTTGTTTTTTTGTCTGGTTCTTATTTTTGATGGCAGACTCTTGGACTTTAACATCTGATACTCTTGTCTATTCCCCAGCAGCCTCATCACAGAACATCCAATCACAGATGAAATTACAGGAGGGTAAAACAATGCAAATTCTAAAACTGGTGCCAGGACACAGTTTTATACAGTTAGATTTTTTGGCTTAGGGAGACAGGTTTTAAGAATTACATAGGTGATTATATCAGACTGTACCTTTGTGAGCTGCAAAGAAGTAGTCATCTTTTTAAAATTGAAGTTGTTAGTTTTTTTCTCAAGTCACATGATAAATGTCATTAGTGAGTGATTTAATATTAGTAACCTAAGTATTATTTTAGAATTTATCGAGTCATTTATTTATTTTTTTTTTTAAGATTTTATTTATTTATTTGAGAGAGAGAATGAGAGAGAGAGAGCAGGAGAGGGGGGAGGGTCAGAGGGAGAAACAGACTCCCTGCCGAGCAGGGAGCCCGATGCGGGACTCGATCCTGGGACTCCAGGATCATGACCTGAGCCGAAGGCAGTCGCTTAACCAACTGAGCCACCCAGGCGCCCTATCGAGTCATTTATTATTTCAAATTAGACATTTAAGAACATAGAGAAGTGTTGTGTAACAGAATCTGTCTTTTCTCACTGTAGATGGCTCTTTTTTTCCTTTTCATGATCGGGACATTTCTTCTTTTAAAAACCAAGG